CAGTATCTTTTAGCCATATAGAAAATGATTCTCCTAATCCCACATAAATAAATATACCTACCGAAGATTTTCTAATTACATGAAAAAGAATAATGAGTCACCTATCCATAATAAAGAAAATATAATTTACTATACCCATCGAATCCTGAATTCCTGATGAGCATTAATGATATATATATGAACAAAGACATATTATGTCTTTAGGATTATAATGCATGTATAACATGTGCAGATTCAGAAGATTATATAGGATACATAAAGTTAGTTACATATGCCTCTTGTTTTTAGCATGAGCTTTAGGGATCTTGTTAATGACTTTGGAGTTGAGGTTGTTGAAAAGTTTCTTCATGTCCCTCCCGCTTTTACTTGCTACATAAGTCAACTCTTCTTCGTATTGCTCATACAACATCGGTATTGTCTCCAGCCCCACAAATACTTCACGAAAACATAACACAAACAAAAAATCATTGCAAGTAAAGACATACTTAAGAAAAATGCAAAAGAAAATATTCAGAAAATATCTTAAAAATCATAAAGACTCACCAATGTATAAAAGAGTTAGAGAGCTGAAATAATTTCCGACAACTGATAGTATCCATAGGGAAACAACTGCCTGAAATAAAAACCAAACACAAGTAATCAAATCCAAACAATCTTGGGATGAAATTTAGTAATTAAAATTAAGATATTTTATATTGATTTTTCTTTACCAAAACTAGGAGTCTAAAGTCTTTTCCACTTGAGATATCATACAATTTTATGATGAACCAGTTGATCTTGGTGAACAAATATCTCCAAGTTGATTCCGAAATCTTTAGATCATTAATACTCGGCGGTTTCCTGCGAGGCGTGATCTTATAAAATTTGTTTTCGTAAAAAAGAATCTAGTGTTTAATGTTTTTGTTTACCGTTGGATTAGTTGTGTAGAGCCAATGTAAGACCAAATGAAGAAGATGAAAATGAAGATCAAGAGGATCTGACAGAGGAAAGTGATGAATGGATATTCAACCACTTCGAACAAGAACCATATCAATGTGAATACCGCTAAGATTGTTCCTGATTCTTTCTTTTTCTTCCAGAATATTATATCGGCAACTACAAGATTTCAAGAGAAAATTCCTTCAAATAAGAAGATT